AAAACCTGTATGTGCCGCAAGTAACTAACTTTATGGAGATAAGTATCCCTCTGTGTGCCGCAAGTAACCTCACATAATGCAGCTAATATGAGCCCTCTCTGTGCCACAAGTACCAACATTTATATAGTCACTAAGCCATATAAGCGGCACTAAAGTAACCTCTAATTATGCAGATAATAGACCCTCTAGGTACCGCAAGTACCCAACATCATTCCGTTGCGTCGTCTCTGCTTTTCGTGCAGCCTTCACGAGGGAAAAAGGAGCGCCGAATGCCCCCATGCTTATGTATGGCCTCGGTTTCCGCCACTGCGTCGGCCACGCAGAACAACGGCAGTCCCGCTGCCACTCGAGTGGAACGACCGAACGTTGGAGTCTCGTAATGCGTCTTGAAGGAGGGAATTCTTCTTGTAATTCTCGTTAATGAAAATGATCACTTTTTCACGGGATATAGTATTGATTTACTTCAACAAGTTGGACGCTGGAAATAAGTATGAAATTGAACAGATAATTCAAGCGGCATCAAAAATCATTAAAAATTGAAATGGGCTCTTTTTTCGTGAATGATGTTGAAGTGTAGTTGGAATATTTAGAAACGTCATTTCAGAAGTGAGACACAACGGTCTCTTAATATTGAATGTTGAATAATTTTCACCAAAGCATTACTGCATTGAATATTGAATCATTTTCACCGAAGCATTACATCTCCAAGAAGACTTGGAATTATTTTAAATTGACTTTTCATCGTAAAAACATCTATGCGCGATCTCTTGGCAGCCAAAAGTGATCATCGTCTCTCGTTCGGCTGATCACCGCGGTAACCTAGTAGCTGATGTTCGACGTGTCCATGATTATTTTTTTCTGCATGGGATGGACTAGAAATTTGAATTTTGACAGCGGCATCATTTGTCCGAGCCATTTTTCAAGAGCGTGTTGTGGTGTCCGAACGGAGATGGTGCGACCATTTCTCCGGCGTTATGACGGAGTGCCTCTATAACATGTGATGCGTTATTCAATACAATGTCATGGATAAATAAGCTTTTCCTACAACAGTAACGAAAAGCAATATCTTATCTATTGGTTCGGATATTGAGATCAGACAATATTTTCAGGCTGCGTCAACAAGTAAAATTTTTTATAAAATTCTTATTTTTCCGAGTTCGATTCTGTTTCATGTGAAGTAGTTCTTGTAGTTTTTAGTAGTATTTTTTTGTAGTAATTCTTGTAGTAGTTTTTTTCTTGTGAAGTAGTTATTGTGAATGATGCTCACTGCATCATTATTTAGCTCTTAGCTCTTATTTTCATTATAATAATTCAAGACTGGGACGCAAATTTACTTGCTTGATTTCATTCTCAGATATGAGCCGTGAACTATTTCCATCAGTTAAACTTAATATAACCTAGACATAAACACCGTCGGACCACTTGCACTCATTTGCAATAATTTCCCTTAAAAACACCGTATCACCTCACGCTCATGCATTCGCAATAATTTCTCTCACAAATAAAAGTTATCTTGTGACTTTATTACCAGAATCTACCCATGAAATTCTGGAACCAAGTATCCGGCGTTCTTGAGCACCCGACGGGCGATGTTGCCACAGAGGAAGGCTGTAATTTCCTCTAGTAGAAGATTTGAGATGAGCTACGCGGTGACATTTTTATGTCAGGAAGATCTGCCAGTTGTCTGAGAAGGCTGAGATTTTGTTCGGGTTCTTATTACCTTATTAAGTCGAGTACCTATAAAAAATTTAAAGCTCTTGTTTCTCGCGTTCTATTTTTCCAGGCTAGAAATGTTCTTTGTAGGTATGGAATTTATGAAAATGTAAGTGATATCTTGTTTGTATACTTTGCCCAAAAATTTTGACTCTCGCTTTTCTATACCTAGATTCCATGATATCATACTCGAAAAAGATAATTTTCGGCACAACAAATTGTTTTTATTGAATGTTTTAACCATTATTTTAGGTTCGATTAACTAATCTTATAATGACGAAACTTTTTGAGTTGATTAAGAATCTCCAAAATTTACCGTGCGAATTTTCACTAATAAAGGGAATGTGAATTAATTTTGAGTTTACGAGATGCGATTAAAAATATTTAAAATTCGAGTCTTGACACTCACCTTTTTCTCGTAACATGAACATTTTTGTCTGAGTCTTGGAGATTTATTTCGGAATCTAAAAGATTTAAGCCAGAATTGAGTTGATGCTTCACTCGCTCTACACGTTTCGCAGCTTTACAAAGACGGCGTCGCCGAAAATCTCCCGGCATTATACCCAATGCATAATAATATTATGATGAATGCCGTCATCCTTAAATGTCACAAATTTGTGAATCCCTTGTGAATTTGGAGGCGGCTTTAAAACACAAGCAAAATATGGACGCTCCCGACTTGGGTGTTGCAAGGTGGGAAGAATCTCAACAGCAGCGACTGGTGAGATTCTTTAAATTTGTTCTAGTAAATGAAAAAATAATTTCGGTTTAAGATATTAATTGATATATGAAGAAAAATTTGTGATGAAATAATTATTCTTATGTTTCATACTGCATATTTTATTTGCATTCGTATCTGTAATTTATGAAACACAAAGGACTGAAAATTATTAAATTTTTCTTATATTCTTGAATACGTAACAGAATTTTATACAGATGTGAGTTAACTATAAATTAAGAATTTGTCTAGTTCCTTGTGGTTTTGGAAATCAAAATGTCGTCATTTTCGGTAACGATGCATCAATAAAATTCCTTACAATTTCAATAGTAGACCATTTTCAGTTCTTCGATTTCTTTGATTTCAAGAAAAAGATTGGGCTTCAACTGCTAAAATGAAATTTTATTAATAATAAAAAATTCGAAATTCAACTTTCAAAAAACCTGTTCGTCAAATGACTTTTGGCGAAAATTAATCAACAATTTCGTATATAATACATAATGGGAAGCTTAAAAAAAGATTTGTTGCAAAATGCTACATTTCAGCACTGAGGGCACTGACATCTTCGCAAAATAATCTTTCATGAAGACTCTTCTTTTTGAGTAAATAAAAGTTTTCGGCATTTTCTTATCCCTATCTTAGTTCCCGTCTGGCGGTATCGCAGAGCTCTTCCTCTAAGCTCTCAAAAGCTCTCACTTCTGCAGACAAGGAGAACTGGGGTTCTTACTTATATTCAAGTGTCTCAGTGTTTGGTGGAAATATGAAATTTCTGCAGACATTTTAAAGTCGTCGTCGGATAAATTATGTAAGTTTTTGCTCGTATATATACGAGTAGTGTTAATGCGTAAGATGGAGTACAATTGCGTATATATTTGACAAATTTGGTTGCTACACTTGTGCCTTAATCGTTTTCATGTGTCTCAACTTTTTTGAAAATTTTTCGAAAACCATTTTTCATTCATATTTTTTCAGTTTTTCTTCGTTGATTTCAAAAACATGCCATGATTTCACCATCACGAAAAGATTTCTTCATTCAATTTATTTGTTCTCGTTGACCCGCTTTTGTAAAGAATGCATCGGAAGAGGCCAAACTTGCACCCGTTGCAGGGTCATCAATAAGCCTTGTATCAAAGTTTGGTCTAGGGTTACTGCCAGATTACCATACGCCTTTGCCCGTCCAACGTCTCAAGTCTAAACATTCTCCATGAGAACTCCCATCAAGTTCGGTGGCATCAAGATTGCCATTTACAGATACACTTCTTTCATAACAAGCCAAAAGAATAAGCTCATGAATATTCCCCTCAGTTTACGATCGATCGAGTGCAGATATTTACAAAAGTTTCTGTTAAGTTTGTAACGTATTTGTTTCCGTGGACTCCTGATATCATCAGCAGGGATATTTGATTGAGATGTTTTGAAGCTTGCGCGATATTGGAAGGCTTCAACTCGTCTTTTCATATTTGATTAAATTACTTTTACATTGGATTAGAAACTTATTGCTTTTAAAACTTAAGATGATCATTTCACAATGAAGCTCCTAAAATTTTGATGTAGTTTTATAAACTTGAAAAAAGAAAATATAGATTCTAATTATTTTTAGGCTCGCAGTTTCAAGTCCTTTTCACACAGCCAATGTAAGAATAACTAGTCCTTAACTTACTTCAAAAAATAATAGTTTCCATGACCGTCGCACCAAATTGTGTCATTCCGACTCATTCGATGGTATGAAGTTCGAGCATTCCATGAACGAACATACCTTTCTAACGTCTCAAATACATACTTTTTTAAACGCAACCTGTAAATACTTTTCTAACGTCTCAAGTCATAATAAATTGCAACGGAGCGCAACCTGTACATAGTTTTCTAACGTCTCAAATCATAATAAATTGCAACGGAGCGAAACATGTATACTTTTCTAACGTTTCAGATCATATTAAATACGAAGCGCAACATGTATATCCGCGATGCTAGAATTTCAAAAGATCAGCAATCATGACTAATAACATTGTAAAATAAAACACGGATCCCTCATTTATTGCTACGCTGATATTTAGAAAATTTAGTTTTGAAGCTTATTTTTCTCCGAGTTTTAGGAGATGTTTCTTCACGAGAAGGACACAGAGATCGTTTCTCAATTGAAATGTGATAAAAGTATTATTTTTTATATTGGAATGAACGTCTCGTCAAGTACATGTAATTAAATTCCAATGCTGGATAAAAACGAATTTTAGAAAAGTCGACGAGAAACTCTAATCAATTTTAGCCGATTGCAAGCAACTTCAAAATCGAGGCGTTCCAGGATCTGAATTATTCACTGTTGGATATAGAAGAAATTCAAAATCAAGGAAAGAAATCCCAAATACAAAAGAGTTTAATAGAACCTGGGATAAAATAGGATTCTCATCCATCTCGAGATAATGAACTTGTCCAAGACGACATATGTAATTACTTGCAATAAAACTAATATTCATGTGGTATTATTACAGGCAATACGTTCGTAGCTTGCATGCGTCAAAATAATGTTTATACGTATAATACTTAACAAAATGAATAAGGCATATTTACTCACCTTCAAAACTTCATCCGTTGCTGAGTGAACGGCTGTTTAGGCTTCGCCGTGCGCGAAGAACAATGCGCTCTTCATTGTCTTATAGAAAGTCTGCTAATTTTTAGAAACAAATTGATTTTTTAATATTCATATAATACCTTGAAGAATAGGCGCCCTTGCCTAGCATAAAACTGCAAAATTTGTTCGACATAAGAATTGCGAATTCATTCCAATTAAGGTTAATTAATTAATTTTGTTATCATTCATATTAATGAGACAGCTTTTTCTAAGATTCATATAGCAATTGATGAACATGGGTAGGTTAAATGATCGCCTAATTCTTAGTCATAGCTTGTTTTCGCTTAATGAGTGACTTTCATTTGTTTCGATCTCAAGTAATTAGGATTCAAAAGTTTTTTTTATTCTCTTACGACATTCACATCTATAATGCTCACTTCATCTGATTTTGTGCTTGCAGGAGAAATTTAATTTTTTATCCAAAGTGTCACTCAGACGCAAATTGTCATCCCTTAACTAAGTTTTGTCTTCAAAATACGACTCCTAATATATTTGGTCAGACACCAAAACGCATTGTAAAAAGTAATTAAATTAGTACTACTTTTGCAGCGTAATCTCCACACGTATTACTGAATGAATATTGAGCATGTCACATATTGGTCGCAGAAACCGTTTTTCCCTTCAGCGCACGGCTCCATCTTTTGAAAGTTTCGACGGCGACCCGATATCGTATATGTTTTCTTGATCCACCTACTTACACCACGGAAATCTTTTGGGAAGCTATACTGCATTTTATATCAAATTTAAAAGTTTTTGCCATATTTTTTACGCCTTCCTTCTTTCACGTCTCCAAATACTCAGTTGAAATAAAGTTCAAAATTCAATAAACTCTTATGTGAAGTCTCTAGACTTGCTCAACAATTTTTATTTCATTTTAAGATCCATTAAAATTTTTGTAGGTTATACTATATATATAAGTATTATGCAAACTAACCTTTATTGTATCTTTTACTTAATTCACATTAATTGCGTTGGACTTTCGCGCGAATTGGGCGTTTAAAGAACTAACGCTTCGTAAATTTTAGGAAGTCTCATTTAGGGCGAAATTACGTGTTATTACGTGTTGATATATAGAACTTATTTCATTATCAGAGGAAATATTGAATATATGTTTTTTCATTTTAACTTTAGTTAGAAGTAACTAATTAATAAACCTATTAATTTCTGACTATTATAGCAATAATATTACTTAACGCCAACCGATATGTGTCATAAAATCCTTTAACGCGGTGTCTATTAAACAAAAAAAAAACAAGGAATTATTTAGAATGAGCCTTACGAAAAATTAGATCATATTAGCTTGAAGAATTAAAAATAAGTTGCAGGTAATACCTTTTTAAGCATGGTGAATTCTATCTATAAATTATTTATTGCAAACTCTAAACTTCTGCCAGGCGTTCGTACTGTTAACCGACATTTTTACATGAAAATCGAACTTTCTCCTTCCCAGACACCTGAAAGTCCAATCAGTCTTTTCAGGAATAAGTACCATGAAATTTTTAATGAGGATATATGAGGGCCTTTTAAGTGTTTGCTTGAATTCTCCTGCAAAATTTTCTAGAATTTACAAGCGGGGACTACTTTTCCGATTCTTCTGGATTCCGGCAATCGTTGGCCAGTCAATCTCTGGAACGACCTGGCGACAAATCCTTTAAGGAAGTCTGCAGAGGTCCTGTCTTCCGTTCTTCCTGCCCAGGACCACACTCCTCTTAAACCGATTTCTCGGGCCTGATCAATGCCTGGATTCCATGCCACTTGGCTTAATTAAACACTAGCTTCCCACTTGAGATGCATGGAACTTAAGGTGCGATGGGGTCACGCCATTATCGGCTGCTAGTGAGAAGCGATGCCCGACGCTAATTCTCATCATCCCAAGACGCCAACGATAATTCAAGATTTCCGTTCGCAATTTCATTTAAATTAATGCATTTTAAGTCATTGCTGGACTGCCTACCGATTATGTAAAGCGGTTTGAACTCTAGAACAGTTTACCGGAAACTTCAGTGACGTGAAGGTGTTATAAAGTTTATTTTGGACTTGAATAGAAGAAGATGCATCGGGAGTATTTCAGGGATCAGATTGAAGTCTCGTCCTGCATGTTATTAAATAATTTAAATACATAACATGTCATTAGAATAAAATACTTTTTTGGATGTATCACGGAATTTTTTATTGTAAAATAGCACTTTTTAGACTCAGAATGGGAATGAATTCTATTTTTAAGTTTGAACAATTATATTACTTTATTTGCTTGAGATTAAATTTATTTATTTGATTTACAATTTTTATTTATTGATCATAGAAGTCGTTTTGATGAGCCATAAAGACAATAAAGGTTTCCTTGTAAATATTGAAAAGATTCAGTTGATTAAAAAAAATTAATCTTAATATATGGTCATCATAAGTTTTTGTTTTTCTTTAATTGTCTAACGTAATTTAAAAAGAATGTTCAAAAGACAACCCTTATGCTGCATAATAAATAATTTAAAAGCACATTGTATCCAAGTTTGGTTAATATGATATTATGCGCTCTATTTGGAATTTTTCTACGATGATCTTCTAAGACAGTTGTGTACCAAATAAGTAATGTCATCACAATGATGTACGAATGATGTCACGATGTACAAAAATATAGCACAATTATATATTTGGCGCACATATCTTTAGCTGAAGCAACTGATAAATGCAGAAACATCAACATCATTCATGAAAAAAGGTCTTACCATTTTTATTATAGGAATTGATAGTCAAACGAATATTTATGCATGGTGGAGGTACAAAATCCAGCAATTGAATATTATAATCAACAATTCTGTGGTCGTATGCATGAGGAAGAATCCTGCACGCGTATTCATTACTCACTCGAATATAATAAAGGTTTTGAGACTAACATAGATTATGATTCGTTAATCTCAACAGCTAGTGCAGGTCATTTTTATTATGAATTTCGTTGAGCTCGGTGGTTGATGTTTATTTATGTATGATTTTTGAATATTTTTTATTCACATGTTAGAGAAAGATCTGAGTTCGAAATTCATGGATTTCTATGTAACATTGTTATTATCTTTTAATGAGCAATTGTGATAGAAGCCAATGAATGATTTTAGTTATTTATTTATTAATAATTTTATTTAAATGCATGTTATTAGATTAGTGGATTATAATGTGCAATTCTTTCTACGCTTCAATTTTGTGAGCATTATTAATTTTCGTCACGATAAATTTTAATTTTTTAATAGCAAGGAAATGAAACCTATGAAAATATCTAATAAAATGAATATATAAAACAGAGATATAAAACAGATACGGATTTAATTACACAAATATCTCGTATTTGTAAGTTCAGTGATCAGGTGTTATGCAGATACAGTCGAGTTATGCAGAATCAAAATTTCGGTTAACATGACGTCTCTACCCGAAAATTAAATTGAATACGACAAGATAGTTTGTGGAAGCTAGTGCAAATTTTCATCTAGTTAAAGATCATTAATTAATGGTTGTTGATAAGTTTTTTAGTTGACCTCAGCACATTTTTAAATGTATGTTAATTTTAAAAATTTATCTAAATTTAATTACGCAATGAATCTTCAGCTTAAAATTTCTCATTATAGGCAAAATTTCGTAGACAGAAGTGCCGTACGCTTTTTGACCTTCAAGAGGCAGAGGATAAAATTTACCGCCCTGGAACTTCGACATGTCGAAACCATCGAAGTTCATCATTTTTCATCGGAAGTGCCATTTTATGGGAACTTTTGCAATTTAGGTCAATCTAAACCTGATTTATAGCACTGGAATTTTAGACGCCAAAATTGCAATTTATTTGCACTAATTTTAAAAATAGAAAGATTATATAAAATGCCATTTCGGTCTAAATGAAAAGTCTGTAAATCAACTCAATGTCTGTTGACGCCATATTATATCACGCAATCATATTTATTTTTAAGTTATTGAGTTCATCAATGCATGTATAACACGTACATGGCACTTGTATTTGATTTTAAAGCAAAATGATATTGACGCTACGATAAACAATCGGGAAAATTTGGGAGACAATAAAATAAAAAAAAAGTAAAAACACAATAAATGGAAATTGAAATGTCATGAAAAAATCATAACGTAGACCGACTGACCATTCGAGAAATTGTGTGCATTCGTGCAGGAGAATTCAAGATCAACAGTCGAATTTGTCAAACTATATAGACAATATTTATTAAAAATTTTTACTATTTATGTATAATTCATGAGAGAGATGTAGAGAAAGTCCTCAAGTCAGTCACGCGCGCCGTAGTAGCGGAGCAGGATATTCGAGCGCACCTGCCGCTGCGACGACCGTCGGCAGACTGAAGCTCTGAGGGCGGCCGCGGCGAACGACTCTGGCATATCCGCTCCGAGGGTCGGAGGAACACCAGATCCGATATCTGCTTCGCAGAATTTTTTTTGCGTTTTACATGTTAATTATGTAGACATATATATAATAGTAAACTAGATATTTTCATACTTTTGTTTTATAATTAGCAAATATCGTTTGAGTTTTTTTACTTTTTATACATTAATACGGTCTTGTTTTATTTGTCCAGACGGCCTTGTGTATTTTTAGCTTGCCTGAAAATAGAAGTGTCACGTTCAGCCTCCAAAATTTCATAAACCAGTTCGTATTCTCCAGGTCAATATTTATGATTTCTTTATTATATACACGCTGCGAAAATAAAAAAAAATCAGATTTTCAGATGGGAAAATACCGCGGTTTTTACGATGCCTGTGTGCCCATTCGGCACTTGAGAGGCTACGAGTAGTGAAGAAACATCTCCGCTTCTTATAAACAACTTCGATCATTTCTGATACAGTATTTACGAGTATAACTTACGCGGATGAAACTACGGTTTTATCAACCAAGCTCCAAATTGTTCCGACGCATGGAAAGTTTCAATGCGAATTTAATGGAGCCTATCTAAGGAGTTTGTGATATCA